CCCCAAAGGCAGGACGCGCGGTCTCAGCACTTGCAGGCTCAGTACCCTCAGTCGCAGCACCCCCGAGCTCATTACCCTCAGTCTCTGCTCCAGTGTCCACAGCAGTAGGCTGCAGAGGCGGCGAAGACGGCAGAGGTGGGAACCCGGGGGGTGTAGCCAGACGAGGAGAGCGGGCACCCCCGGACTCACCACCCCCAGCCCTAGCTCCAGTAGTCTCAGCTCCAGAGCCCACAGCAGCAGGCTGCGGAGGCGGCAAAGACGGCCATGGCGGGAAACCCGGGGGGGTCTCCAAGCGAGGAGTGCGGCGAGTGGTCGCCGTGTCGTCGGCGACGGCGTCACCCCCCTCAGGTGAGTCAGAGGAGTCAGAAGAGATCTCAACTGGCTCATCCAAGGGGGGTGGGTCTACCTGGGACACACCTGAGGGAGCAGGACCCTGTGGGGGAAGAGGGTCTACCGGGTGGGGGACTGGTACCAGGAAGAGAGGTGCGAGAGGGACCGGGTGGGACGCGTGCGGGTGAAGTCGGTAGTAACAGACCGACTCGTCAAAGGTGACATCCTGAGAGGACAGAACACGACGCGAGGCAGGGTGGTAGAACTGCCAGGGTGGAGCGTCGGTGGGGAAGCCCAGGAAGACACAGCTGAGAGTGCGAGGGGAGAGCTTGCTCGCTTTGGTATCGCGAACAAGGGAGAGCGCGCCCCAGACCCGAAACGACGACGCATCACCAGGCTGTCCCGTCCAACGGAGTGTGGGCGAGGTATCTGGAGCAGAGACACGGGGCCAGAGGTTGAGCTGATGCGCGGCGTATCGGACCGCAAACGGCCATAGGAAATGGGGAGCAGCCGCATGGATCATGGAGGTACGAGCAACCTCCATGATCAGGCCAATGCGACGCTGAGCGATCCCATTTTCCTGCGGAGAGGCCGGAAGCGTGAACGACTGGGCGATGCCCTCATCCTCGCAGAACGTCTCAAGGACGCCAGAGGAGAACTCACCACCCCTGTCAGAGTGCAGACGCAGGACTGGAAAGTCCTGCCGAAACCGCTCACGCAGCTAGTGACGAGTAGCACGGATCTAGGGGATCAAGACACCATTGACATCCGCCTTGCGCCGCAAGGGGAAGACTGTGGTGTAGCGTGTGTAGTCGTCAACCACTAGCAGGAAGTAGCGCTCCTGGTCCGTTCCACCGACAGGGGCCGGGCCCCACACGTCCATGTGGGGAGTCTGCAGAGGAGCAGTGGTCGGAGGAAACTCGGAGGAGTGAGGAGCGGCGCGCTGCCACCCCTCGACGCAAGGAAGGCACGGCGGCGCAAGTGAGTGCGGGAGGGGGGGCAGGGTCTCAGGGAGGCCAGTCACTAGGAGCCGGGAGTGCATGCGGCGCAGACGCTGCAGGGAGGGGTGACCAAGACGGTGGTGCCAGCGCTGAGTCTCGTGCGTGAGTACTCGGCATGAGCAAGACGCAGCTAACTGCCCTGACGCTGACGCTCGACTCGACGTAGCTACCTGACCTGACTCAGCCACCTGTGCAGACGCAGTGGTCAGTGTGTACAGACTGGACCCAGGCTGTTGAGTGAACGTAGCCAGGTGACGACCAGTCCGGGAGCACATACAGATTGCCACACGCTGCCCTCCAGGAATAAAGGTATCAACCCATACATCCTGAATGGCAGCGTTGCTCACCAAGTTCGTCGAGAACGTGGGGAGGTGTAGACCTGACAAAGAGCCGGAGGGGACTGCTGGACAAGGGAGGACCGTGGAGGCTCTCGCAACCACTGGGCCCCCAGAGGGGTCAGCCAGTGAGAGTGGAACAGGTGCTGTGAGTGGTGTGACTGTGCTGCAATCACGGAAGAAGCAACGTGACGCGCCGGAGTCAAGCGTGAAAGTGTGCAAGACCTCAGCTGAGGCAGGACCTGTGGTAGTAGACGCACTAGCAACTAGAGCGTCGGTAGACTCACGGGCACCTAGAGCTGCAGCAGACTCACTAGCACGTGGAGTGGCAGCAGACTCACTAACACCTGGAATGGCAGCAGACTGACTAACACCTGGAGTGCCAGCAGACTCACTAACACCAAGAGCAGCGGTCTTAACAGAACGATAACCTCCACCACTAGGACGACCTCGCTGAATAACCCACTCACGAAGCTGCCGAGGGGTGGGGTCGTCCGGGAGAAGCAGTGCCCGCTGCTGTCGACCCCTGGCCGCAGCGACTGCCGCGGAAGTGGCCATGACAGACAGTGACTGTCAGGAGTAGGTCCAGCACCTCCAGCTCCTACAGCGCCAGCAGCACCTCCTACACTCCCAGCAGCACCTCCTCCACTTCCTGTAGCACAAGTAGCAGAAGCAGCAGTAGTAACAGCAGCAGGGCGGTTCGGTGGGGGTGGGAGGCCGCACCTCCACCACTCCCAGCAGTACTCCCTCCAGTAGTAGCAGTAGCAGGGCGGCTTGGGCAGCAGCAGCAGTAGACCGAGTAGCACTAGCAGGGCTCTCGTTATCAGGGTAAAATACCCTTTTTGCACTGACTGACGGCCGCTTTTTTTCAGTTACCCGTTCGCAGACAGGGTAGTGGATTTTTTACCCTAGGCCAGAAAGTGTAAGTTTTTTTGTACCCTTTGAAAAGCAGCGTAAGGAACATGTTTCCCTGACTGTACAGTGTACAATCCCAGTAATACTGATACCGAATGCTACGTAGCGAGACGAAACACTATGCGGGCCCCTGCAAAAACACTTCAACGAATCTCGAACCTGTGCCTTTCAGGCCCTATTCCGTAACACACCAGCTGAGCCACTAAGCCTGGATTAACAAACTCAGAAATATTTATACAGTAATTTCTGAAAAAAATACCCTTGCCAAACAGTGTTACAGTTTTTTTACCCTGCATTTGTCAGGGAAACACAAATTTTACCTTAGGCATCAGGGTTGACTATACCTAGAACCCTGATTACTAAGGGTGGCCCAAAACGAATCTGAAGCCCTGAGCACTAGCTGTAGCAATAATAGTTGCAGTAGCAGCAGCAGTGACAGCTCGGGCTGGGCGGCGCGGCTCGGACACAGTGGCAGAGCAGCAGTAGCACTAGCTGTAGCAAGTGCAGTAGTAGGAGCTGCAGCAGTAGCAATAGCTGTAGCAAGTGAAGTAGTAGGAGCTGCAGAAGTAGTACTAGCTGTAGCAGCAGTAGCTTCAATCAATCAGCAGTAGTTTCAGTAAGGAGCACCTGTAGCAAGTGCTGGAGTAGGAGCTGCAGAAGTAGCACTAGCTGTAGCAAGTGAAGTAGTAGGAGCTGCAGCAGTAGTACTAGCCGTAGCAGCAGTAGCTTCAGTCAGGAGCAGCTGCAGTAAGTGCTGGAGTAGGAGCTACAGCAGTAGCACTAGCTGTAGCTTGAGTAGCTTCAGTCAATAATAGCTGTAGCAAGTGCTGGAGTAGGAGCTGCAGCAGTAGCACTAGCTGTAGCAAGCGCTGGAGTAGGAGCTGCAGCAGTAGCACTAGCTGTAGCAAGTGCTGGAGTAGGAGCTGCAGCAGTAGCACTAGCTGTAGCAAGTGCTGGAGTAGGAGCTGCAGCAGTAGCACTAGCAGTAGCAAGTGCTGGAGTAGGAGCTGCAGCAGTAGCACTAGCTGGAGCAGCCGTAGCTTCAGTCAGTAGCAGCTGTTGCAAGGGCCGTAGTAGCAGCAGCAGCAGTAGCACTAGCTGTAGCAGCACTAGCTTAAGTAGCAGCAGCAGTGAGTAGCGCTAGCTGTAGTAGCAGTAGCAAGGAGGAGCAGCTGCAGCAAGTAGCAGCAGCAGCGAGTGCAGCAGGAACACGGGCCGCGTGCGGGCCAGGCGCGGGCTGTAAGGGCTGCGTGCGGGCCTAGCGCGGGCTTTACGAGCTGGGTGCAGGCCTGACGTGGGCTGTACGGGCTGCGCGACGGCCTGGCGCGGGCTGTACAGGCTTTGCGATGAGCCTACGCAGGCTGTACGAGCTTCGCGACGGGCCTACGCGGGCTGTATGGGCTTCGCGACGGGCCTACGCGGGCTGTGCTGGCAGCTAGGGCGCGGTCACGGGGGGTTGCATGTGACTAGGAAGGAAAATCGCGTCTAGGGCAGATAAAGGAACCGTCTCGCCTAGAGCACGGTTTCGAATTTCACGTTTCTCCTAGGGGCGCGACTCGGGCAGTAGATCGAAATAGTAGTGGTGGGCCCTTTTAAAAATTCGGTCCTAAGGAGCATTGTGCTCTTAATACCATGTTAGAATCACTAGCCAGGTGAGGAATGAGTGTCGATTAGGTAAGAGGGAGGGGGTACAAGGATGTCGAGAGAGTTGGGTTGCACCCTTTAAGATGTGACCCTACACAACCTAGTGTAAGAACATAACAATATGTTTTGACAGCTTCTTGTTGTGATATAATGTCGTCATGCCGACCACAAATTTTATTGTACCGCGCGGTATTGAGCCTGTTGTATTTGTTATCAAGGTGTATTAATTACGTGGTAATGTTTCCACAGTTGCATTGGGATGCTCATTGGCTCTGTTTGGGGCTAATGATTGGGGAGGGGCAGAACAAGTGTACAAGTTATCGATGATGAGTCATTGGCTTAACGAATCTGCATGCTCTGATATGTATGCCTTAAAGAATACCAGCGAGGCTTGCCTGTAAGGGCGAGGACATATGGCTCAAGAATGTGCACCAGTATGGTCTTCAGAAGGGGGAGAAAGGCGGATAAGCTTGAAGGAGCTTCTTGTTGTGATATAATGCCGTCATGCCAACCACAGAGTATCTTGTTCCGTGAGGTAGTAGAGAACGTGGCATGTTACTAACAAATCGTTGAAGGTGCCAGCTGGTAGAGAAAAAATCACAAAACTTCTACAGGGGTGTTCTGAGAATTGAACTCGGGACCTCTCGCACCCTAAGCGAGAATCATGCCACTAGACCAAACACCCACGAGGGTCATGTTCTACAAAGTATAGAGGATTTTCATTTTTAGAAAGCTTCACCTTTGTTTGACAACGCTCACGATCATCTTGGCCATCATGGCGGCTGTCGACTCGTCCTTGGACGTGAAGCGATCCGAGGAGATTAAGGAAGCCGCTAATCGGGCCTTTCAAGGTAAGAGCTTGTCGCGATGCCTCGTGTTCAGCTCAAGGCAGTCAGTGAATCCAGTCCATTCCACCCTGTGATAGTTTCCGTCGCGGAGTCGCACGCCTCTTCGCACGCAAGGAGTGACGACCGTTCCGTGCGATCGCTTTAGTCGAACAAACGCACGCCTCTCGGGACGCACGGAGCAGAGATTCGTGCGTTCGATCGTTCCTCTCATCACGTCGCTGTCTCGTAACGAATGTGCAGCCTGCGTCGCGATGTGGTCAGAAGGCGTTGACTCGGGAAGGTTCAATTGTGAGTGGTCGCTAATAAGGAAATTGTCCATTCCACATTGTAGTTATAGTAACCAGGCTTGTCGTAATAAGTGCTTTTCACGCGGATCCAAACAGGTGAATTAGCAGACTTGACAGACTTACCAGCAGTAAGGCTTCCGATTCTGGTTGGTCGACTCCGTTGTTTGTCTCGATATGACTCGATTCAGGTCCGAGCGACAGATGAGTGCGGGGCGACGAATGCAGTCGGCCCTTCACAACGACTCGAGTTTTGAGGCGCCTCAAAAGACTCGATTCGTGATCGAGTGACAGATGAGAGCGAGCGACGAATGCAGTCGGTCCGTCACGACGACTCGCGAATGGTCGGGACGGTTTCTCGCAATGGCCATATGGAACCCAATCTGCTGATCAAATCCAATCATGCATTTCCTTTCCACCCGAATTTCCCCTCGTTGATCTCGTTGACCTCGTTGACCTCGTTGACCTCGTTTGACCTCTACAGCGAGGCCATCCAACTCAATGGATCAAACGCCATCCGCTGGGCAACTGCTCTCTACCTTTCCTCCTTCAACCCCCCACCCGTTTCCCCCTCTCTCCTCACCATTTCCCCCCCTCCCCCATTCGCTCCCCTCATCAGAGCACAAGTTCCTGCGAGCCGTTGATCTCAACAGCGACGCAATCCAGCTGAACGAATCGAACGCCATTCCACCACCCTGCTCCCCTTCTTTCTGCACCCGTTCCCTCCCTCTTCCCCCTCTCCCTTCGTATCCCCTCATCAGAGCACAAGTTCCTGCGAGCCGTTGATCTCTACACCGACGCCATCCAACTCAATGAGTCCAACACCATCCTCTGGGCCAAACTTTCCTCTTCCGCCCCCTCCTCCTTCTCCTTTCGCTCCCCTCATCAGAGCACAAGTTCCTGCGAGCCGTTGATCTCTACACCGACGCCATCCAACTGAACGAATCCAACGCCATTCTCTGGGCCAATCGCGCGTTCGCCCACACCAAGATCGAGGAGTATGGCAGCGCTGTGGAGGACGCTGCTAAGGCCATTGAGCTCAACCCCTCCTATGTCAAGGTAACTTGGGGTTAGTAACCCTTGATGATCCAATAGTTGCGGGTGGTTACCCTGCATTCACCCTTCACACCAAGATCGAGGAGTATGGCAGCGCTGTGGAGGACGCTGCTAGGGCCACTGAGCTTAGCCCCTCCTATGTGAAGGTGATTTTCGTGGGTTAGTTACCCTTCTGTGACACGGTAGTTGGGAGTGGTTACCCTGCGTTCGCCCACACCAAGATCGAGGATTATGGCAGCGCTGTGGAGGACGCTGTTAAGGCCATCGAGCTCAACCCCTCCTATGTCAAGGTGATTTTCAGGGGTTAGTATCCCTAGCGTGTCGCGGTAATGGGGGGTTGTTACCCTGTGCTCGCCCACGCCAAGATTGAGGAGCGGCGTGGAGGATTTTGCAAAGGCCATTGAGCTCTCAAACCCTCCAATGTCAAGGTAACCCTATTTTGTCGTATCCAGCATGGCAAGTGAGGGTCGACTGGGGTTGAAAGAGGTGCAAGGGGGTAGAAGCCCTTAGAAGCATACCTGGCACAGTAGACATACCTGGCCAGCCATAGGCAGTGGTAACGGTGCCAGGTATGAAGAAACGGTGTGTTTCTTTCTCCTTCTCGCCCCGCCCCCTTTCAGGGCCACTACCGGAGAGGCACAGCATACCTGGCTGGCTATGAGCAAGTCTAAAGTCTGTGTTTTCGAGCCGCCTAGATAACAGTCTTGTCCCCTCCGTCCATCCATCTCCTTTCAGGGCTACTACCGGAGAGGCACAGCATACCTGGCTATGGGCAAGTTTAAAGATGCGCTAAAAGATTTCAAACAGGTCAGCTCACCCCCGCCGTAGTCCTTCACCTATTCCCGCACCCACCTTCCCGCCTCCTGCCCCCACTTCCCCCCACTGCTCCCCACCTCCCTGGCTCCTTCGTGTCTCTTGTTTTCCTTGGCGCATTCTCTTCTTTGTATCAATATTTTTTTGGGGTGGCCTACGAGTTGACTCAGATGTAATTTTCTGTGCCTCGTTTTCTGTGGCCCATTCCTCCCCTTGATTCATTCTTCCCTTTCTCGCCCATGCAGGCAGCCAAGATCGCCCCAAGGGATTCAGACGCAGGCAAGAAGCTGAAGGAGTGTGAGAAGGCAGTCAAGGAGGAGCTGGTTCCTTTCCCTTAGTTCACCACCAATCTCTCTTTCTCTCCCTCTGGACCATACAGGCAGCCAAGATCGCCCCAAGGGACCCAGACGCACGGAAGAAGCTCAAGGAGTGTGAGAAAGCGGTGAGGGAGGAGGCGTTTCAGAATGCCATAGCCAGTCCAGACAGCGGGCCTGTGGGCTTCAGGGACTTTGGCGTTGACGTCAGCAGCATAGGTGGGTTTGACTTGAGTTGACATCCGTTGACTTGAGTTTCAAAACGCCATAGCCAGTCCAGACAGCGGGCCTGTGGGCTTCAGGAACTTTGGCGTTGACATCAGCAGCATAGGTGGGTTTGACTTGCGTTGACTTGAGTTGACTTGTGTTGAGGTGGAGGCGACATACGATGGGCCGCGCCTGGAGGGCGAGGAGGTGACACCCTCGCTCCCCTTCTTTATTGCTTGTATGATGGACGCACTCACTCACAGTAACACAGTACCTTCCGTCCACACCCCCCACGCCCCTCACCCCCCTGCACCGCAGACGTAGTGACTTTTGAGTCGACTCAAAAGTCACCCCGTCCACACCCCACACGCCCCTCACCCCACACGCCCCTCACCCCACACGCCCCTCACCCCACACGCCCCTCACCCCCCACGCCCCTCACCCCCCACGCCCCTCACCCCCCACGCCCCTCACCCCTCTGCACCGCAGACGTAGCAACATACAATGGGCCGCGCATGGAGGGCGAGGAGGTGACTCTCTGCTTGTTAGGGCATATATGTTGCACGCACTCACAAGCAGGTATCCTATCATCCAAACACTGTACCCACCCTCACTCGCCTCCCTGCAGACGTGGAGGCGACATACGATGGGCCGCGCATGGAAGGCGAGGAGGTGACTCTTCCTTCCCCGCCTTCACTCACTTGCACATATCGTATTGCAAACACACCACGCGCCCCTCATGCCCCTGCAGACGTGGAGGCGACATACGATGGGCCGCGCATGGAGGGCGAGGAGGTGACTCTCTGCTTGTTAGGGCATATATGTTGCACGCACTCACAAGCAGGTATCCTATCATCCAAACACTGTACCCACCCCTCACTCACCTCCCTGCAGACGTGGAGGCGACATACGATGGGCCGCGCATGGAAGGCGAGGAGGTGATTCTTCCTTCCCCGCCTTCACTCACTTGCACATATCCTACTGCAAACACACCACGCGCCCCTCATGCCCCTGCAGACGTGGAGGCGACATACGATGGGCCGCGCATGGAGGGCGAGGAGGTGACTCTCTTGTTCGTTAGGGCATATATGATGCACACACTCACTGTTGCATGTATGCTCTCTCACACTCACTACACCCGTCACCCCACTGCAGACGTGGAGGCGACATACGATGGGCCACGCATGGAGGGCGAGGAGGTGACTCTCTCGTTCGTTCAGAAGATGATGGACGCTTTTAAGAACCAGAAGAAGCTTCACAGAAGGTGCGCACTCATCTGAAGAAGCTTCACATCACAGTTCCTGTTACACCCCATTTTCTAGGTACATGTACCAGTTTCTGTTTCAGATGCACAAGCCATTGGTTCATGTGCCTTGCCTCCCTCTCCCTCTTCCCCCAACCCCAATCCCCAGATACGCCTATCAGATTCTGTTTCACATACGGGAGCAGCTGCGGGCGCTGCCATCACTGGTGGACATTCAGGTGCCCGACGGTCAACATATCACAGTCTGTGGAGACATTCACGGGCAGGTGAGAGATTCACGGGCAGGTGAGAGATTCACGGGCAGGTGGGACACTTTCGGGTAGGTGAGGCAGTCAAGAGCAGCGAAAATGGTTTGGGCAGGTGGGACATTTACGGTACGGGAAGGGAAAGCCTGTCAGAACCACCACTCATTCATCTTCCATCCCCCACCACCTCACTCAACGTCCCTTTTAACCAATCAGTTCTTCAACCCACTATCCTTCCCTGCTCGTCTCCCCACCAGTTCTTTGACGTCATGAACGCCTTTGAGCTCTACAGATTCCCTTCAGGCGCCAGTCCTTACCTGTTCACACCCCACTCCCTTGTACTCTTCTCTCTTGACCCTGCCTCCCCTCTCTTTTCCCCGCCAGTTCTTCGACTTGATGAACATCTTTGACCTCAACGGCCTGCCGTCAGAGACCAACCCCTATCTGTTCAACGGGGACTTTGTGGACCGAGGCAGCTTCTCAGTGGAGTGCATCTTCACTCTCTTCGCCTTCAAGTGCCTCTATCCCACCGGTGAGCGCGTCATTCCCTAACGTATACATAATAGGGGTCTTTACCCCCCCCCTATGCCCACTGTCAAGTGCGGGGATCCTATGATGGCCCGCTTTGCACACGCCTTCTGTTCCCACGTGTAGCGAGGTTGTTTTTGAGACGTCTCAAAAACAACCTCGCTACACGTGACCTTCCCCCTATGCCCACTGTCGACTCAAAAGGATCCTATGATGGCTCGCTTTGCACACACCTTCTGTTCTGCTGCCCGCTGCTCAAAAATCGGGCCCCCATCCTCCCCTCTCCTCACTGTACCCGCTCTTCGTGCCCTTCCTCTCTCCTCTGTGCCTCTGTCCCCTCACTTACCTCCATTTTTTCCTCCCGACCCCTCATTCCCCCCCAGGCATTTATCTCTCCAGGGGCAACCATGAGTCGTGGAACCCATGGTGGAGCTCCAGAGGCATTTATCTCTCCAGGGGCAACCATGAGTCGTGGAGCATCTACGGGTTTGATGGCGAGGTGAAGGCCAAGTGCGGAGAGCCCATGGTGGAGCTCTTCGCTGACGTCTTCTGCTGCCTGCCTGCCTCTTCACACACATCCTCTCATCCTCCCCTCTCCTCCTCCCTCTGCCCTCTCTCCCGGACTTCGTCTCTCGGCCTGCTTCCCTCCCTCCCCCTATTCGTTCCCCCATACTCCACCAGGCCTTTATCTCGCACGAGGCAACCACGAATCCCGCAGCATGAACCGCATATACGGCTTCGACGGCGAGGTGAAGGCCAAGTGTGGAGAGCCCATGGTGGAGCTCTTCGCTGACGTCTTCTGCTGCCTGCCGCTGGCGCATGTGATCAGCAGCCGCGTGTTTGTGGTGCATGGGGGGCTGTTCAGCAAGGATGGGGTTAGTCTGGACGATGTGAGAGGCATCAACCGCTTCCAAGAGCCTCCAGATGAAGGTGAGGATGGGGTGGGGAGGAGGGTCCCTCTCTTGTTTGCCTGCCTGCCTGCCTGCCCACCTGCCTCTGGCGCATGTGATCAGCAGCCGCGTGTTTGTGGTGCATGGCGGGCTGTTCAGCAAGGATGGGGTTAGTCTGGACGGTGTGAGAGGCATCAACCGCTTCCAAGAGCCGCCAGATGAAGGTGAGAGAGGGGTGGGAGGGTCTTTTTCCTGTTTGCCTGCCTGCCCACCTGCCTGCCGCTGGCGCATGTGATCAGCAGCCGCGCGTTTGTGGTGCATGGCGGGTTGTTCAGCAAGGATGGGGTTAGCTTGGATGATGTGCGAGGCATCAACCGCTTCCAAGAGCCTCCAGATGAAGGTGAGGATGGGGTGGGGAGGAGGGTCCCTCTCTTGTTTGCCTGCCTGCCTGCCTGCCCACCTGCCTCTGGCGCATGTGATCAGCAGCCGCGTGTTTGTGGTGCATGGTGGGCTGTTCAGCAAGGATGGGGTTAGCTTGGACGATGTGCGAGGCATCAACCGCTTCCAAGAGCCTCCAGACGAGGGTGAGAGAGAGGCGTGTTTGGGAGGGCAGAGCGTGTGTGTCTGCGTGGCGTGCTGCCTGCCTGCCTGTCCGTATGCCTGCCCGCCTGCCCAGTGCCCCCCTGCCTGCCTGCCCGCCTGCCTGCCCGCCCGCCCGCCCGCCCGCCTTCCCGCCCGCCCACCCGCCTGCCCGTTTGCCCACCGCGGACTCGCCTGCCGGCCCGTGCGACCCCGTGTTCTGTTTTCAAGAACACTCATGCTGCGGGTCCCATGTGTGCCGGTATTGCTGCCTCCACGTGTGTGCAGGGCTGATGTGCGAGGTGCTGTGGAGCGACCCCTTCCCCGGGCAGGGCCGCATGCCCAGCAAGAGAGGCGTGATGGGAGTGCTCATCCGTGTCCCTTCTCCCATGTGTGCCTGCACCACTGCTCCTATACTTGCTGGCACTGCTGCTCCTCTCATGTGTTACAGGGCTGATGTGCGAGGTGCTATGGAGCGACCCCTTCCACGGGCAGGGGCGCATGCCCAGCAAGAGAGGCGTGGAAAAAGGAATGCTGCTCACCCTTGTTGTTGCTTCTGTGTGTGCCGGTGTTATTGCTCACTCCATGTGTGTGCTGCAGGGCTGATGTGCGAGGTGCTGTGGAGCGACCCCTTTCACGGGCAGGGGCGCATGCCCAGCAAGCGAGGCGTGGGCGTGGCCTTTGGCTCTGACGTCACCAAGCGGTTCCTGCAAGACAACAAGCTGGGTGCGTGATGTGGGGGGTTAGGTGGGTGAGTGAGTGCAGGGCCAAGGCGGCAGGCTGGGGCACCTTGGAAACTGTCTTACCTGGCGTGGGAGTGGCCTTTGGCTCTGACGTCACCAAGCGGTTCTTGCAAGACAACAAGCTGGGTGCGTTGGGGCGGAAATCGGGGTTGGGGGCAAGGGGACAAGCTGGGTGAGAGGGGTTTGGTGGGTGTGGGGTGAGACCTGTAGGTGTGGGCGTGGGGTGTGGGCGTGGCCTTTGGCTCTGACGTCACCAAGCGGTTCCTGCAGGACAACAAGCTGGGTGCGTTGAGGGAGGGGGGGTATGCAAGGGGGCAAGCCGGGTGTTGGGTGGGGGAAGGGAAGGAAGAAACCTGGTTCTTAAGGAGGCTGGAGATGTGGGTGTGCTTTTCCCATCCTTACAACTCCCCTTACATATGCTTCTGTATCTTGCTTGTGTCTCCGGTAGACCTGGTGGTGTGGTCACGTCACACGAGGTGAAGGAGGAGGGGTCGGGTATGAGGAGAAGGAGAAGCATGAGGGGCAGCTCCTTACTGTGTTCTCAGCACCCAACAAAACCTTGAAGCTCCCGTTATTGTGGCTTTGTGTCGTGCTTGTCTCCCTGGCAGACCTGGTGGTGCGGTCGCATGAGGTGAAGGCAAAGGGGTATGAGGAGGAACACGAAGGGCAGCTGATACGGTGTTCTCAGCACCCAACCAAGCCTTACAAATTCCCTTACGTGCGCTTCCGTATCTTGCTTTGTCTATCTGGCAGACCTGGTGGTGCGATCGCATGAGGTGAAGGAGGAGGGGTACGAGGAGGAGCACGAGGGGCAGTTGATAACGGTGTTCTCAGCGCCCAACTACTGCGACCAGATGGGCAACAAGGGCGCCTTCATTCGCTTCCAAGCGCCCGACCTCAAACCCAACTTCACCACTTACACTGCCGTGGTGAGTACTGCCCGCAGGGCTGGTGTTGACATGGTGTTGTGTGGGTATGGGAGCATGAGGGGCAGGTGGTCACGGTGCTGGTAGTGGTGCTGGTGGTGGCATGGTGATGTGTGGGTGTGGGAGCACGAGGGGCAGGTGATAACGGTGTTCTCAGCGCCCAACTACTGCGACCAGATGGGCAACAAGGGCGCCTTCATTCGCTTCCAAGCACCTGATCTTAAGCCCAACTTCACCACTTACACCGCCGTGGTGAGTGCTGCTGCTGGAGCTGCTGTTGCTGTTGTTGTTAGTGTTTCTTTTGTTGTTGCCTTCTTGTCACCTTCCTCTCAGTAGTGTCGTTGGAATCCCTCTTCCGTCCCATCCTCATCATCTTTCCCTCTCTTCCTTCGCTCAGTCAACACGCCTACAGTATTTCTCTGACAGCCCCACCCGAACGTGCGGCCTATGGGGCATGCATCCAACTTCTCGTTCCTCTTTTGAGGTGCCTCAGAAGCCCACACTCATCTCTTTTCTCTTCCTTTGCTCAATCAACACCCCTACGGTCTTTCCCTGGCAGCCCCACCAGAATGTGCCGCCCTTGGTGTATGCATCCAACTTCTTCTTTTGAGGCACCTCAAAAGCCCACACTCATCGCCTTCCCCTCGCTCCCCCTCTCTCATCGCCTCAACAACCCTATCTCACTGGCAGCCCCACCCGAATGTGCGGCCCATGGCGTATGCATCCAACTTCTCCTCGTTCTTCTAGCTATCTCCATCCACGGCATGACAAGGTGAGTTGTAGCCCTGCCAATGCTTGTTCCAAATACAGTCGTTTTTTGCTTTGGCATACAGCGAATGAAACTTTATTGTTGTTTTTGCTGATCTTGTTTGCTCTCTCTTCTTGTTCTCTTGATTGCAGGTTATTGGGAACCAATTTCATGTTGACCTGCCATCATGTGTATCCAGGTCTACATTTCATTCTTTGTGGGTGTTCGTTACCTAGTTACCCTGCTTTAGGGTCCCGTCCGTATGTTAACAAGTATGGTATTTGCCACCAATTCTTTTCTTATGACAGTAAAAGACTACAGATCATATGGTACATTCATCTAGCCCGGCGCGCAGTCTAGTTCACAGATACCGATAATTTAACCGTTGTGAAGTTGATAGGCAATAACCAGCGCAAAGACTACAACAAGACTGAAAAAAATATTTGATGGACAGGTACTGGGACTCTGAGAGAGTATCGTTGATTAGTCTAACGAAACGCACTGCAACTCAATCAGCGAAACCCTTGTCCCGCGCCACATTTGCAGCGTCACCGTGACTCTTACGGCCGAAGTTCCTCAAATGTCCATTTCTTGGAGTCAGTTTCCCGCCAATATATTGGCTTTTGGTCACCCTGGGTGCTTCAGCCCGACTAAACCGAACCAAACCACTCCTCACATCACAGAATCGTCCTTCAATACATCTTACACTTTCCTTTCCTGGTTCTCGCAATAATCCGTTTCGCGCTTTCTCCCCGTTTTACTGAGCTATCTGTGATGGTAGCTCGAGTCCAGTTCTATCTAGCTTTCAGCATCTCAGCTCGCAAGAACCAGGCTCTCGTTAACCGTTAATTGGTTTTTTTTTATCGTGATCGAGTTCTAAGAATTTCATCGATCTCAACCTCATCACGCGATTCCTTTTCGCATTTAGTCCCGCAGAACCACCAACTGACGCCGTTACTGAGAGATGGCGTCAGCAGCGGACCCGCAAGAGTATAAGGAACGGATGCTGGAGTTATGTTGGGAACACTTTTTGTACCATCGTCCATACCAGGCCTTGATGTACGACATAGAAAAGCTGGGCAACTTTCCTAAGCACAACTTTTTGTTAAACAAAATGTCTATGCTGCGAACCATGGAGCATTACTTGAACACGAGCGGGGTTTCGGAAGAAGTTCTCGATATAATCAAAGGTCTTAATAGACTCTCTAACGACGACGAATACGCTCGAAGCTGCGAGAAATCCCACCGCAACAAAGAACGTCTGCACGGTGTTCCTGCTCCTGATACGAAAATGTGCTCCGACGAGGACGGATTGGCAAACGTTCGGGATTATTTCCAGCGAAAGGAGCTTGGGCCACCGCCAGGGCAGAAAATTCTGCTAGAGGTCATGACAGCCGTTGCGGTTCGGTTTCTTGGCGGGAAACCATGGGAAGTTGCCCAGTACCGTGACGTTTTGGAAAAGGTTTGGTCTGACCCTGGTGACGAATCAGAGGATGATGACGTGGATGCAGCAGAATCGAATCACCTGCAGCAGCAAAAGGCTAGGCGGATGGAGCTATTCGCAGCTGTGGACAACAAGAGCCTGCAGGCTAAGCTCATACAAAAGTACCCTGTTGCCGAGGCTGCCACGTTGGTTCGGAGGTACATGGACGATTCGTGGGCTTGGTTCGGACGGCCGAGTTTGGACGGGATTGCAGAGCAAGTTCTTTTAGGTAATTTGATTATGAGGACGGATGCTGTTTGGGGTGAAGGAAGAGAGGGAAGAGACGGCGGTGGTGGTCATGGTGATGGTGCTGATAGTCTTGGTGGTCCTTCCATGATCACTGATGGCGGTCTTGCTGGTGGTGGTGAATGTGATACTGAGGTCGGATGCCCTAAAGGATATGTGACTGTAGCCGTACATGATCTTATCAGGAGCTGGTTCCCTGAAGGCCTGAACCGAGGTCAGTCAGTGCATCTTGCCCGTGTCTGTTTCTCTCATAGCGCAAAACCCTGTGGAACATGTTATCTAGCTTATGTTATTTCACCCGGGTGCTGATTTTGATTGCTTTTCTGTGTGTCTTGCAGGGGCCCGTAAACTTGAGGATTTGAGGGAAGAGAAGCAACAGCAGGACCAGGTGCAGCGAAAACAGGGGCAGTCACAAGATCCACAAGGGAAGCCAAAACAGCAGCAGCAGCAATCCACTCGAGCACAGAACCAAGAAGAAGCTTATGAGGCGGTTCAACAGGTACAGAATCATGAAGCAGCACCTTCAGCCGCCGCCACCACCGCTGCTGCTGTCAGTGGTGATGCGGAGCAGATGGTTCGTGAGTTGCGAGAGAGCAGTGCGAGACTGAAGGCGGTAGGGCAGGACCCCTTGCCTGACGCACTGCGATTGGCTGAGGCTGCTAAAGCCCAGGTCCGGGATCAGGCTCGGGGTAAGGCTGAGGGTGAGGCTAGGAATGGTGGCTTGGGGGAAGAGAGGGAAGTCGTTCAGGGTAGTAAAGCAAGGGGAGGGGGAAGGAAGGAGAGGGTGGGGTTGGAACACGTGAGGGAGGAGGAGGAAGAAGAGGAGGGTGAGGAGGATAGGAGGACGAATGAAGCTGGTATGAGGAGGAAATGGAAGAAAAAGGGGGAAGAAGGGGGAAGGAGAGTAGCTAGTGAGACTTGGTTGGAAGTTCTGGGAAAAGGAGAGGGTGAGAGAAGAAGGCGTGGTGAAGATGGGAGAGAGGAGGATGGAGAGGGAAGGGATGGGGGTGGAAGGAGGAGAAGGATGATGGACCCTCAACCAACCGCACGCATTCTAGAGGTATGGCACACCACATGGATTTCCTCACTTCAGGCAAGCCGTTGTGTCTGGACAGGGATGCACCGTCCCATGTTCCAATCCCATTCACCGTTCTCATATGCTCGTCCGACGCAGTGGTCTGATGCAGAAGAGACTCCAGAGCCAAGCAAATCCTTTACAGGCAAACCTTCACATGCACAAGCCACATGCTCAATCCCATGTTCCAATCCCTTTCACCATTCTCATATGCGCATCCCATGCAGTGGTCTGAAGATGACGGGGAGTTGGAAGAGACTCCAGAGCCAGCTCAACCCCATGGTCCCAGCAACCGGCATGGCCGCACCAGTATGCCCGCCACAGTGCACCTACGAACGCCCTCCGCCCCCCACCTCTCCCCTCTCAACCTGCATGCTGCTTCTCCTGGCACTGCTGCTGGTGCTGCTGCAAGGGGTGGTATGGGGCAAGGTGTGAGGAGGCGGGGAGGCACTGTGACTGCGACTGGAAGGGTGAGGAGGCCTAAGCGGCCGTTCAGTGCGGAGGAGACAGACACACTCAAGATTGGCGTCATGAGGTGAGGCAGCTTGAGGTACGGCTTGAGGTGAGGATTGAGGTGAGGATTGAGCCGCAGCCTGGCGCACTGCATGCTGCCTGAGGTTCTGATCCAGCTGGAAAATCGTCTCAGCATATGCTGTGAGTGTGTGGTTCTGGCTGGGGAATCGGGTGCTCTCTTCTTGTTCCGGTGTTTTCTTCGTTTTCCTTTTCGGTGCTTTTCTTTCACCGGGTTATTGATTTTTTGTTTGCCCCATAACGCCTGGCTGTCCCTGGTGCGTGCTGTGCATGGCATGGCAGGTTTGGCAAATCGTGGAGTCAGATCATGCACGAATACGCCGATGTCTTTGCAGGCCGGACGCAGGCAAGTGACCTATACCTGCTCGATTGCTTGTATTCTGCGCGTCGTGACTTCTTCATGCATGTTCACCTTCAAGCCGGCGGCCCAAATTGTTGATGCTTTTAAAAGTTGACCAGAGGGAGTTTTTCTGGTGTAGGCTTTGGCGAGAGTTCGCAATTTCATCTAGGTTCGTTTTTTTCGCGAGACCCAGCCAACCCTCAGTTGTCCCCCTGGTGAGTGAATCTGTCTTCGAAAGTCCCAAATTGCAGGTGCGTGACTTTCAAAAGCTTGGACACTCAACTTCGTCAAGTTTTAAAAACTTGACCCTCGCGGTCCGCAATTTGGGACGCGGGCTTTAAAGCCCGCATGAAGAATTCTCTGGCCGGGTTTTCAAACGCAGTGCGTTTGAAACTGACGGGGTTGCTCCTTGATTGAACGGCTTGAGACCTACCATGGGTATGCAACCGTCTGTCTCAATGGGTTCTCATCTCATAACATGCCTTTTGACTCCTTTGTGCGTCAGTGCTTAATGGTTGGCATCAAAGCTTTATTTGTTACTTATGTTTGCGTTCTGAAAGTGTCGCAGCGGCATATGTTTTCGCAGGTTGATCTGAAGGACAAGTATCGGAACTTAGAAAGGGCTGGCGAGGTTTAGTCAAGATGCAATCTCTGGTTAAACAAAGTATTGTCACAATGTGATTTATTATGTTCAGTTTGTGAATACGTGATACTGTAGTTTCAAGTGTTTTTCCTACAAAAAAAAAATGTCAAAACATGAATGAGATGTGTAACTAGTAATGTTGGAGTTGTGCTTGTGCAATTTGTTCCATACATGAAATGTGCCGCTCACGCTGTTCAGCCCGCAACTACCTTCAGATTGCAAGTCTAGGCGAAATCATTTGTCGCTTCCCCACCCTACGTTCCGCATTCAACTGATCATCGCACGAACCGGCTGTAGCGGTAATCCCATGTTCACAAACTTGCACATGAAAAGCTACCTGCATGCTCACATTTCCTCATAATTTTCTACAAGGTCCGCAAGGCCGTTGCGTCCATGTTAGGATAAATTCGGTTGGTTGCTTGTCGTTCATCAGCTTAGATGGCTTCAGCAACACGATGATGCTTCTCACCCATGGTAAGTCCCCCCACCACCCATGTTCCGTGTCCTATCCCGATCTAACCAACGTCGTCCCTGTCAGGCGGAACGGCAGCAGCAGCAGAAACTGAACTTTGCATCCATAAGCATTGTACCTGCCAGCGCTGACGCGAAAACTGCAGTGCGGCCCAATCAAATCGTCATGCGCTGTCACGCAGCTGCATTCCAACCCTCTAGAAGAGGGTGGAGTGTTTACAACCAGCGCAGCGTTTAGCGTGCCACGCGGGCTTCTCTGCGGGTTTAGGCGGGGGTTTCCCGCCAGTCATTGACGAGGACCCTGAGTCAGCAAGCCGAAGGGGTCCCCTTCGTTGTGCATTTTTTCTCTCGTTCTTGCAATTTCTATTTAGTTTTCTTGTCTCTCCCACCTGGCTGCGGAAGCCATGGCGGAATTTACTGCCACCCATTTTCTATAAAAGAAGAAACCTAGGCCCGCGTTTCGAGTTAGCGCTGACGGCTGGTACAGCCGTGTCCCACCAAAGCCACCACTGCCACCTGCGCCACCTGCACCCTCTGCTCCACCTGTTCCTCCGTGTCCTCTCGCTCCTCCTCCTCCTCCGAATCCTCTTGATCCTGCATACATGGGCAATCGTCCCGTGCTCTAGCTTCTGTTGCCATCGACATTCAATGAGTGGCTTAAAGAACCGGAATCAAACAAGCCCCAGGATGAGTACGTCGATGCACCGCCGCTGACACCTCGTTGGGGCGACTTCAAAAATTACACGTGAGATGAGTCCGCGGTGGGCGCTAACGATGACGTGACCGCTGACGGCGAGCACAACGCAGAGGGCGGCAAGGGCGTTGAGGCTGGCACCTTGACTAGTACCGAGATTGGCGCCGAGGCTGGCATCGAGATTGGCACTAAGGCTGGCACCGAGGCTGGCAGAGAGGCTGAAGTTTTCCCCGAGGGATGTGTGGGCGGCGAGGACGACGGTGTCGAGTGGTGGTCGCGCGATGGCCTACCTCAAAAGTTACCGATCCCGTCGTATCCGCCTATTAACCGAAAGCGTCCCCACCTTTCTTATAAGAACCGTGATGCCTGCCCCCCCTCTCCCAAGCACAATCCATCGCAACATAAGCGTCATGCTTATACTGCCCAAGAGAAGCTCAAGTGGCTCGCGTGTCTGGATGTGGCAGTTTCGGTGCGCACGTTGTCGTGTGAATCTGGCATCCACCGTAAGTGTCTGACAGAGTAGAATAGAGTTGCGGAGGCCCTGAAAGACGCTCATGGCGCACGGAAGCGCATGTACAGCCGCGTCGGTCCATGGAGCTTAATATTTACACAAGGCTAGACGACTAGCGGTGCAAGGGAGTTGCAATGTATGCCGGGCGCCTGCAAGAATGGTCACTGGAGTTCACGAAGGTGTTGTACTCGGATGTCAAGTGGAAGGGGAGTCAACGGTGGTCGGACCAATTTTTGAGGCGGTGGAAACTCAGCGTGCGCATGAAGACCGTTTTTGGAAAAACCTCCGTCTGTAAGAATATATTGTTTCATTTTTTAACAAGGAGCTTGTATTCGATGTCATTCCGCATGATTCTTAACATATTCACTAACCCCTACTTCTATGCACCCCTTCCACTACGTTCACAGATGACGCGGAGTAGTGCTAGAAAATCTGGCAGTTCGCTCGCAACTGTCAGAACATTATAGCTTATGCTATTGTGTAGGCTATAGTGGGGTATCCCATAGGGGGTACAACCCAACTAGGGTTTCATATTTGTACTCGCTTCATTCATAGTTCACCCCATTCTCGTTCTAATCTTCTCATGGTATCGAGCAGGTTCCCCCTTGGGAACTGTGCTTAGGGCCCACCACATCGAGTTTTTTTTTTTTTTTCCTGCCCGAAGCGCGCTCAGCCCGAGTCGCGCTCCGGGCCCTCACTTCGTCGAGCCGCCCTAGCGGCCCTTCACTGCGGGCCCGCCGCCTGTCTCAGCGGCCTCGCCGCCCTTTTCTGCGGCCCCGCCGCCTCTCTCGTTGCGGCCCCGCCGCCCTTCACGGCGGCCCCGCCACCTGTCTCAGCGGCCCAGCCGCCCGTCTTCGCGGCCCCGCCGCCTCTCTCGCTGCGGCCCCGCCGCCTCTCACTGCGGCCCCGCCGCCCGTCTCAGCGGCCCCGCCGCCCGTCTTTGCGGCCCCGCCGCCTCTCTCGCTGCGGCCCCGCCGCCTCTCACTTCGGCCCCGCCGCCCGTCTCTGCGGCCCCGCCGCCCGTCTCCGCGGCCCCGCCGCCTCTCTAGCTGCGGCCCCGCCGCCTCTCCCTGCGGCCCCGCCGCCCGTCTTTGCAGCCCCGCCGCCTCTCTCGCTGCGGCCCCGCCGCCTCTCACTGCGGCCCCGCCGCCCGTCTCTGCGGCCCCGCCGCCCCTCTCGCTGCGGCCCCGAGCCCTACCAGCGGCCCTACGGCCCTACACCGCCCGCGCCACCCGAGCTGCCCGACCCGCCCGAGCCGCCCGAGCCGCCCGAGCTGCCCGACCTGCCCGAGCCGCCCGAGCCGATTGAGCTGCTGAGGAGCCGAGCCGCCCGACCCGCCCGAGCCGCCCGAGCCGCCCGAGTCGCCCGAGCCCCCTGAGCCGCTGAGGAGCCGAGCCGCCCGACCCGCCCGAGCCGCCCGAGCCGCCTGAGCCGCTGTGGAGCCGAGCCGCCCGAGCCGCCCGAAACGCAGTTGCTGCTGAGCCGTCCGAGCAGCCGCGTTGCTGTGCTGCTGAGCTGCCCGACCCACCCTGTCTGGTGAGAGCAGCGCTCTTGTCTCTGCACTGCCCCTGTCCTACAGGTAGTACTGCTAGGCTACTATCGTCATGGCTACCCCTAGTGTCCTCGCTTTTGACGCTGAGAGTCGGGCCATTGACTTTGAGGTCTGGGTAGACAACCTGCAGCTGTTCTTACAGTGCGATAGGGCAGACAGCCTCTCTCTCTTTGACCTTACCTCTGGCGCTTCCCCTGCCCCTGCTGCTGATGCTGACGCCACTGTTCGCTCCCAGTGGGCCACGCGCGACGCTGCTGCACGTGTTGCTGTGCGTCGCCACCTCCCTACCTCCGAGCGTGCGCACTTTAGTCAGTACAAGAGTGCTCAGACCTTGTACGACGCTGTAGTCGCGCGCTACTCCTCCCCTGCCACTGCTGCACTGAGCCGTCTCATGCTACCGTACCTCTTCCCTGACCTTGCTGCCTTTCCCACCGTGGCTGACCTCATTACGCACCTCCGCACTAGTGACACTCGCTACCGCGCTGCACTCCCTGCTGACTTCTGCGCCAAGAACCCCCCCCCCCCATGTACATCACTCTGTACTTCCTAGTCACTCGCCTTCCTGACTCCCTTCGTGTAGTCAGGGACCACTTTCTCTCAGTCTGTCCCACCACACTCACTGTCGATCTCCTCCAGAAGGCCCTCTTAGCAGCGGAGAAGAGTATAGTCGCTGTAGGAGCCTCTCGAGGTGACCCGCGCACCCCCATCTTTGAGGGGTGTTCCCCCTCCCCCCTGCTGCCCTCTGTTGCCTCTGCTGCTACGGCCGACCTCCTTGGTCTTGAGTCGGTCGGTGCGGCGTCTGCCCCTAGCGGGAGACGCCGCCCTGGCAAGGGCAAGGGGGGCAAGGGAGTTGGAGGAGCGGGCGGTGGAGGTGGAGGTGGAGGCGGTGGGGGTAGCGGGGGTGGCGGTGGGAGTGGAGGTACGGGTGGGGGGGTCGGTGGCGGCGGTGGAGGCGGAGGCGGCGGCGGCGGTGGCGGTGGGAGCGGAGGTGGCGGAGGAGGCGGCGGTGGAGGCGGCGGTGGAGGCGGCGGTGGAGGCGGCGGCAGTAGCGGAAGCGGCGGAGGCGGTGGGGGTGGCGGTGGAGCTGGTCGCGGGCCTTCGCAGAGGAGTGGCTCCGGTAGTGGCGCGCGCCAGCAGCAGCAGCGCGGTCGTGAGACCCTATCCCCTCAGCAGCTCCGTGAGTGGTACACTGCACACCAGCGGGGTGGGGGTTTTGGTCCGTGCACCTACGTCCTGCGCACCGGCGACCGTGCGGGTGAGCAGTGTGGGGGTCCGCACCCCACCCAGCGCTGCTTTGGCCGCCTGACGGACGCGTGGCGTCACCAGTTCCCGGAGGCCTTAGAGATTCCTCGCTGGGGCGAGCTGTCTAGGGCGGGTGTTGCCAACTTTGATCTTGACTTTGATGCTATTCTCTCTGCCATGTATGCTGTGTCTCATAGTGATGAGGGTGACTGCTACCGCTGTTTCCCGCCCGATCCGGGCATTGAGGCTGCTGCCCTAGGTGCTTGCGACGCTGCTGCTCTAGGTGCTAGTGTGTCTGCGTCCTCAGGTACTGGTGAGTCTGCGCTCTCAGGTACTACGTCGGCTTCGACCTCCCTCACCTTCACTCTTGACTCTGGGGCGTCTCGCTCCTTCTTTCGG